AGATTGAGCAAAGAAGTAAATATATTGATGACAACAGGAGCCAGGTTTCTCACTGTCAGAGAATGCAGTTCTAAAATAAACACTATGGCCTGGCTGGTTTGGCTCAGCAGTTAGAACGTTGACCCAAACACCAAAGGGTCACAGGTTCGATTTCCAGCCAAGGACACATACCTGGGTTGCGGATTTGATCCCCGGCCCTGGTCAGGGTCCTTCGGGAGGCAACCAATCAATGTCTCTCTGTACATCGATATTTCCCTCTCTTCCTCCCTCCCTCCTTCCTTTCCATTCTATCTAAAAATCAATGGAAAAATATCCTCAAATGAGGATTAACAAAAATAAAAAATAAACAAAATAAAATACATACTATGATGTTGGGTTGGGATGGGGGATGCTAGTGTGAACTCACAAATCTTTTTCTTTAATATGTTTTTATTAATTTTTTTAGAGAGCAAAGAAGAGAGAGATAGAAACATTGATATCAGAGAGAAACATCGATCGGCTGCCTCCTGCACGCCCCCTACTGGCGATCCAGCCCACAACCCGGGCATGTGCTCTGATCAGGAATGGAACCAGGACTTCTCAGTCCATGAAACAATGCTCAATCCACTGAGCCACCACAGCCAGGTGATTCTTTAATATAGAGAAACATAAAAATAGAGAAGAGGGTGTATATGGGTATATGCATATATATTCTTTCCTAGTTCTGTCAGCCAAGAGAACCCAGGTGACAGCCTGACAACATGGAGCATACCTAGCACCCAAATTTTGGTTTCTATATACTATCCTCACTGAAAGGGGAAATGGCTGAGTCCATATTTAGGGAAAGGAAAGCCCAAGCTGGGGCAAAGTGTAACAAGGTACTTAAAGAATAATGAGGACTTATCAGGAATCATCTTGAAGATGCTCCTACTGGAAAATCTGGAACAATTTCAGCCTCCACATGGAAGAAATGATGAAATTAGAAAATTGCCATTCGGCAACAATCATCAAGGTAAACTAATGGCTAAAAGTTGGACAAGGAACAGGATATTTACATTGCCTCAAAGTATCTCCTCACAAAAGACTTATTACTTACTAATAAGAACAAAATACTTATAATTAACAGAAAGTGGAGAAACCTGACAGACACCATCTTAACCACATGATAAAAGTTAAAATAACTGTGGGGCACACAGAGAGCATGTGCCTCCCAATATAATGCACTGTGAATGCAGCATCGCTCCTATGTTCCACCAAAAATTCATAACTTAAATGTAATCACGGAGGAAAACAGTCAAACCCAATTTGAGAGATAATGTACAAAGTAACTTACGTAAACTCTTCAAAAACGTCAAGGTCATGAGTCAAGGAAAGACTAAGGAACTGTTCCAGATTAAGGAGACTAAAGAGACATGCCATCTAAATGCAATGCAGGCCTAAATTAGATCCTAGACTCAGAATATTATGAAGACAACTGGCAAAATCTGAATGGGGGCTGCTGACTAGATGGGTATCAATGTTAACCACCTGATTTTGATGACTGAAGTATGGAGTCGTCCTTGTTTTTAAGAAATATACACTGAAGAATTAAAGAGAGATGTGGCTTCATGTCTGCAACTTATTCTCAAATGGTTCAGAAAGACAGAAAGGGAAAAAATAAGGCAAATGTGGTAAAATGTAAACTAGAAGTCTGGATGAAGAGTATATAGGAGTTACTTGTACTAGTCTTACAATTTTTCTTTAAGTTTGAAAGTATCTCTAAATAAAGTTTTAAAAACAGACAGCATGGTTAAGGCATAAAATAATAATAGAACTGAAAGGCAGATAGTCCCTACCAGCCATGCCCTCACCACTTCATATCAGTACCAAAGAACATGTTATTTCAAATCCAGTCCTTCAGTTATATCTTTTCTTCCCTAGCTATAAATAAACTAGTACCTGTATGTTGAAAAAAACAGCACTGTAAGCATAGCCCAAAGATAAGAGCATTGTAGAAAACCTAACAGATTTTGTTTTTCTAGACAAGAGTAACCCCTTGTGGAGGACTTGAAAAATAAATCCTTCTAACTTGTGAGAATCTGCTATCAAAATGTTACATCCTGCCCAGCCGGTGTAGCTCAGTGGATTGAGCAATGTCCCATGGACTGAGAAGTCCTCGTTCGATTCCCAATCAGGGCACATGCCTGGGTATCGGGCTCAATCCCCAGTAAGGGGCGTGCAGGAGGCAGCCAATCAATGTATCTCTCTCACATTGATGTTTCTATCTCTCTTTCTCTCAAAAATCAATAAAAAAATGTTAGATACCTTATTATAGTTAATAATTTTCAGCCACTACTTAAAAGGCACACTTTACTAAATAATGTTACCCACAGCCAAAGCCAAAATTCTGTTAATAATACAATAAAACAATTATGCCAAAGGACTATGCTGTGTCCACTGATATTCAATATTCCCATCCCTTTAGATTGCACCATTTTGCCTGTTGTCCAGTCTCCTTGAGAATCTCCTCCTGCAAACTCCTTATTCTCCTCCTCATCAGCTGTCTCAAATCCCCTCTCCCGATTTCTTTTCCTGGTGCCTCAAGTTCTGTCTGTCTCTGGCTGTATTCTAACTCTGCCTTAAGTTCTGTCTCTGGCTGTATTCTAGCTCTGTATTTAACCTCAGCAATTTCATAGTAATCTATAGTTACCATTAATATCTCAAAAACTTCACAGATCTAGATTTTATCTTCTTTCAAGCCATATTTGCAACTCACTACTGGGAGATCATTTCTAAGATGTTCTAGCAGCAACTCAAAATCAACATGTCAAAAACTAAATTTAACTCACTTCCAAAACCTCTTCCTTCTTCTAATGTGCTTCCAATCTTTATAACAGCACCTCTCTCTCCTTGATCACCCAAGCCAGAAACACCATAAATATTTCCAATTCCTTTCTTCCCTCTCTTCATCGATACACATCCAATCAGTCATCAATGTATTCCAACATGTATCTCCCCTTACTCTTTTTCATTTCTTTAGGGCTTGACCACTTCTCACTTAGACCACGGCAAAAACCTCTAAATTATCTCTGTGCTACTACTGTATCTGCCTCTAATCTACTCCTCAGACGACCGCCAGAGTGATATTCGTAAAATAAATTTCTAATTGTATTACTTTCTTGCTCAAAAAAGTCTTCATTTTCAAAATGAAGTTCAACCTGCTGTCCTCCACACTGTGAGACCAAGCTTTACTCACATGCATTTATATTCCAGTCACATTAAACTGACATGACTACTGATTGTTCCCATCTCTCATGTGTTCCTAGATCTAGGAACCTTCTATCAAATTCATCAACTTTAGTCTAAAACGCTACCTCTCCCATATTAGCTCTAAACTTCCCACGAAATCAATCATTTCCTTCACTCTGTGCTACCAAAAGACCCTGTACCTCCATCACAACACTTCTGACATATCTACCTTTCGATTTAATTGTGTTCAAGTTTCCCATCACATTATAAAATCCATGGAAATAGGGACTATGTCATATGCATTTTATTACTTTCCCAAGCACCCAGAAAAGTGCCTTAAGCATGATAGGATCTTAAAAAGGTAGAACAAAACTGAACATACCTGCTGGCAGCTCTCTAAATCGTAGATATTCCATAGACCGTGTAGTCACAAGTGGTTTTTGAGGATAATAGAGAACATGGGCCAATGTATCCATACGAACATGAAAGTTGGTGATATAAACTCCCATAGCCTGCTTACCCATAGCAGACTGGTATGTGTTTCTAGGCGACTAAAGGTAAATATAAAAGGCAACATCAATAAAAATCAAATTATTTCTAAAATAACAGACTCTATAGGTTATTACATAAATCAGTTTATGATTGGTCAAGCTTCTGTTTTATTCTGAAAGATAAGTGGTAACCCTTGGAATAATTAATTATGCTCTTAACAGCAAAACTCAAGAATAAAGCATGTTAAATGCTGATTCTACAGGAGTCCATAGCCTTTTCATGAAAAGGTTTTCCTTTAAAAACTACAGACAAATCTATTTTATTCTACTTCCCCCAATTCCTCACAAATGAGAAGTCAGAAATAGCTACCAACCTGGTTATGATCAGGAAATGGAATAATAGATGCACAGACACCAAGAATCATTGAAGGGTGAATCTCACAGTGTGTATATGTGGAACAATAAGCTACTTCTTTCTCCTGTAAATCATCTGGAGTCATTGCCAGCATCACTGTTTCTTCTTCTAGAGTATCAATATATTCTACTACCCCGCTGGCCACAAGATCCTGCCAACTGAAAAAGAAGAATTCTTTTAATTTCCTTATTTCCTGAACTCCTTTAACTAAGCATTCTACATAATAAAGAGTATTCCTGTACTTATATTTACTTACATAGGAAGAGTTCCAAAACAGGCATTTCATTATTAAAAGAAAGTTACTGAACATAACTATTATTATTAGTCTGTTTTGCTTTATTCTAAAGAAACTATTTGTGGGGGTAGGGGTAAGTATATAAACATACTGATCAAGGGCTGGAGGAATATATACTCAATTGTTAACAGTATTTACTTTTGAAGAGGAGAGTGTGAATTGGGGGCTTTTATCACACATACTGATTTCTCTTTTTTTAAAAACAATAAAAATATATACACTCGCCCTGACCAGTTTGGCTCAGCGGTTAGAGCATTGGCCTTGAGGACTGAAGGGTCTTGGGTTTGAGTCCCAGTCAACTACCTGAGTTGTAGGTTCGATCTCCAGCCCCGGTAGGGATCATGCAGGAGGCAAGCAATCCATGTACCTCTTTTACATCAATGTTTCTCTCTCTTTCTCCCTCCCCAACTCCTTCCCTCACACTCTATCTAAAAATCAATGAAAAAATATCCTCAGGTGAGGATTAATAAATACCTTCCTATCCTTCAAAAAAGATGGGAAAAAATACACATACACACACACACTCGTCACTGGCTGCATGTCCCAGTGAGCTGAATAATCCTGCTGCTCTTCCTGCCAAGACCTCACCAAAATGCTGTCTCAAATGGAACATGTCATGGAATCCATGATGCTTACGTTTCGTAAATTTGCTGGGGATAAAAGCTACTTAACAAAGGAGGACCTGAGAGTACTCATGGAAAAGGAGTTCCCTGGATTTTTGGAAAACCAAAAAGACCTTCTGGCTATAGACAAAATAATGAAGGACCTGGACCAGTGCCAAGACAGCAGAGTGGGCTTCCAGAGCTTCTTTACCCTAATTGCTGGCTCACTATCGCATGCAGCAATGTTTTGTAGTTCACAAAAAACAGAAGGGAAGGAAGGAAGCAGTTACTTCCATCCTGATAAGAGTTTTCCCAATGGGTCACTTAATGAAAATGTGCCCCACAGCTTGCCCCTGTATAAAGATTACATGAGCAGACTGGGACCCTTAAAAAATGTACAAATAAAATCCCACCCCCATTAAACAAGAGAAAAGCCAATTAAAGCCAGATAAGCTTTTGATTTTTATATTGCTTGCATCCTCTTGCCCTCAATAAACAAATTTCTTTTTTAATTCCTAAAAAAAGGTGTTATATTTGTTACTTATTATTAGCTTTTACATATCACAAAGACTTTTATACTTAAACAAAACCTGATAAGTCCCTTAGTTGATAACAAAAATTAACCAAAAAAATGTACTGCTAATGAGTACAATGTTTCTTTCTGGGGTAATGAATATATTCTGGAATCAGATAGTGGTGATAGTTACACAATCTTGTGAATATACCAAAAACCACTGAATTGCATACTTTAAATTCATTAACTTTAAGGTATGTGAATTATATCTCAATTTTTTTCTCACTGCATGTACTTACCTGTAGTTGTTATATTCTCTCTCTTTCAGTTGATCGATATGTCTCTTTTTCAACAGTAGCTTTTGTTTTTCCACAATCAGAAGTGGTCTACAAATACGACCTGCATCTGTATAGATCCGAATCTCCCTCTCTCGAATATCTCTGATCATCGAAACCTAGATATAAAAAAAACAAAACAGTCTCATGGACTTTTATCTTCTCTGTATCACAAGGCTTATTAGCTAAAAATACAATACAACTCCTCATGAATTTCTGGAGAACCAATTACCAAATAAAATGGACAAATCTTAACAGTTTATCATTATTTAATATACTAAAAATCTAGGTATAGCCCTGGCCGGTTTGGCTCAGCGGTTAGAGCGTCGGCCTGCGGTCTGGAGAGACCCGGGTTCGGTTCCCCCTAAGGGCATGTACCTCGGTTGCAGTTTGTCCCCGGCCCTGGTTGGTCATGTGGATGGCAGCCACTCGTGTCCCTTCACATCGATGTTTCTCTCTCTCTCTCTCCCTTCCTCTCTCTCCCTCCCACTCTATCTGTACAAAAGATGGAAAAATGTCCTCGGGTGAGGATTAAAAAAAAAAAAAAATCTAGGTATAATTAAAGATCATATAAAGGGCCCCGGCCGGTTTGGCTCAGCAGTTGGAGCATCAGCCCTCGGACTGAAGGGCCGCACGTCTGATTGCCGGTCAAGGGCATGTACCTCAGTTGCAAGTTCAATTCCCGACCCAGTTAGGGTCATGCAGGAGGCAACCAATCAACGTGTCTCTCTCATATCAGTATTTCTCTCCCTCTCCCTCCCACCCTCCCTCCCTCCCCTCCTTCCACTCTATAAAGATCAATGGAAAAACATTCTTGGGTGAGGATTAACAAAATAAAATAAATTAAAAAATCAAAATAAAATCTTATAAAGGATAAATATATAACCTTGGTAATTACAGAGCTGAACAACAACATCTGGTAATAATATCATATAAGATAAAGTAAAATAAAAAAATATTTCTGATAATCACAAACACTAGTAAATGACAATTTCTTATTTTGCTTCTGATATAATCATATATACTTCACTCTGTAACCTTTCAATAACCAGTTCAATATCATTTTGCCTTGATAATACTTCCCCGGTAATAAGCCTGACTTTCCCACTCACCCTTTAGACCAGTGGTTCTCAAACCTTCCCAATGCTGCGACCCTTTAATACAGTTCCTCGTGTTGTAGTGACCCCCAACCATAAAATTATTTTTGTTGCTACTTCATAACTGTAATTTTGCTACTGTTAAGAACTGCCATCGGATATATGTGTTTTCAGACAGTCTTAGGCGACCCCTGTGAAAGGGTGGTTTGACCCCCAAAGGGGTCGCAACCCACAGGTTGAGCACTGCTGCTCTAGACAAATGGCTTACACCCTAGCTGTCTAATACAGTAGTCACTAGCCACATATCACTACTGAGCACCTGAAATGTGACCAATGTGAAATGAAAAATGCTTAAGTATAAACTACACACTGGATTTCAAAGGTAGTATCAGGAGAAAAAAAAAGTAAAATTTTTCATTAATAATATTCACTTTGATTATATGTTGAAATTGTAATATTTTAGATGTATCAGGTCAAATAAAATACATTATTAAATTTATTTTCTTTTTTTATTTATTAATTTATTTTTGTTACATATTTCTTTTCTTTTTTTTTTTTTTTTTACTTTTATAACATGGCAACCAGAAAAATTTAAACTGAACATACAGCTCACATTACATTTCTACTGGATAGCACTAAAAAATATATTCCTAAAAAATATAAAAAATTTGCAATAAAGAACATAATAATTATTAAAAGCACTGTAGAATTTGAAGTGTGTGTGTGTGTGTGTGTGTGTGTGTGTGTGTGTAAAAAATAAGTCAAGCCCTGGCCGGTTTGGCTCAGTGATTGGAGCACTGGCCTGTGGACCAGAGAGTCCCAGGTTCAGTTCCCGCTAGGGGCACATACCAAAGAATAAATAAATAAGTCAAAAAGGAAACAAATAAAAATTTCAACTGAATTGTCCAGATATAATATATAATCTTGGACGTCAACTACAAAATAAATTGTCAATGAGTCGGGAAATAAAAAAATAGACTGCTATTTCTCTACAAAAGTACTTTTAAAAAGTGAAATGATATCTGGAAACTTTTATTAAAGAAAAGACTGGGTCTATTTAAGAAAGGAAAAGATCTGGATTACTCAGTTTAAAAACAATAGTATGTTATAAAAGCTTTATCAAAAACATCAAGTTCCCCAAAACCAAAGAATCAAAACCTATAAAAAGAAAATGTTCCAAGTTCTTAGCCCACTTCCTGTCCTTAGAAAACAATCTGAGGAGAAACACTGTCTGTGAGCAAAAACATCCTGAGTGGTATTCTCAAGTCCCAGAAAAGACACTGCTTTCAAGTGCGTTGCCTTGAGTCCTTAGAGAATTCCTAATAGACTATAGCTCTATTAACAGAAGGACATAAACTAAGCTGTGTCCTCTCAAAGGCCAAACAGTATCTTACATTCCAAGGGAAACAGGTGTTCTTTAGTACATTTACAGAGAACTATTAACAGGTAAGCTAAACAAGCCCAACAGATGACTCAAATTAGAAATGAGTAAAATGAGAACTTCTGGTTATCAGAAAATATGAAGTAAAAAAAAAAAGTACTAGACTATTTCTGAATTATACACAATTCTCCCACTTAAAGGCTCCCAACATCACTCTCCAATAGGAGATTAAAGTGTCTAGTCCAAAGACACAAGTCTTTGGTCAATATTCAACGTCTACTATGTGTCAGGCACCATGCTCAGAGCGGAAAATACAAAGTCACAGTAAGACATGTTCCCTGTCTCTGAGGAGTTAATCGTGTAGTGAGTGAGTCAGACATCCAAATAGGGGAGTCAGTAAACAGCCTACAGGCCAAATTTGCCCTCACCTGCCTCCTTTAGAAATCCCACAGATCAGCCTTGGCCATTGCTGGACAGTGGTTAGAGCATCGGCTAGCACACTGAAAGGCCATGAATTCAATTCCCAGTCAAGGGCACCTCCTTGGGTTGCAGGTTTAATCCCCAGCCCAGTCAAGGCATGAGAGAGGCAACTAATTCATGTCTCTCTCACATTGATGTTTTTCTCTCTCTCTCTCACTCTCTCCCCTTCCCCCTCCCTTCCTTCCATTATCTCTAAAAATCAATGAAAAAACATCCTCAGGTGAGGATTAACCAAAGAAAAGAAGAAATCCCACAGATCGTGCCCTCTTAATTAATTAAAGACTCTTACTTCAGACACAATGATGTCCATCTGACGCCGTAATTTCCTTAGAGTATTCATAAGTTGTTCAGGATCTTTATGTATTCCAACCCAGCAGCCATTAACAAAAATTTTGGTTGCACTAAAATACAAAACCAAAAGCACACTGCACTTAGTAACTCTATACCAATCTATAACCAAAGATTAACAATAGTTTTTTATTTTTTATTTTTCTTTATTGAAAGAGGAAGGGAAAAGGAGAAAGATAAGAGACATTGATGAGAAAGAACATCGACTGGCCATCCTGCATGCCCCCTACTGGGAATCAGACCCACAACCTGGGCATGTGCCCTGATGGGAACTGAACTGGCAACCTCTTGGTGCACAGGTCAATTGATGCTCAACCACTGAGCCACACCAGCCAGGCAACAATAGCTTTTCAAAAAACCGCATCTGCCTTGGTTGGCTTGGCTCAGCGGTTGCATCGGCCCTCGGACCAAAGACTTTTGGGATCGATTCCGTCAAAAGACACGTGCCTTGGTTGTGGTTTGGTTCAGGTCCTGGTCATGGTGATGGTCGTGTGGGAGGCAACCAATCGATGTTTCTCTCTCCCCCCACCAACTCTATCTGAAGATAAATGGAAAAATATCCTAGGGTGAGGATTAAAAATATACATACATATTGCATCTATACATACTCAGCAATAGCCGCAGGAGAAATTTCTTCTAAATTTTCCATACTCCATTCTTCTAAAAATTCCAGAATTGGAGAAGGTTGAGATCCAACTGAAATATAAGCCATCAGTGCTAAATTCTTCACAAGTCCTACAGCATGGCCCTTGGAATGATAAACAAAGTATTAGTCACACTGATTTAACATACCCATCAGAATTCTTTTCCGTAAACACTTTTCTTTCAAATTGATTTCAGGATTTATTCTTACTTTCTAAGATCAGAACTATCTTAGTTCTAAACCACACTACATGATTAAATAAAAACTCACTCTGAAAGTAATTATATCCTACATAATTACTGGCAGACATTTTGTTCTGAAAATAAATTTTAATGCATTACCTCTGGGGTCTCAGCAGGACACACCATTCCCCACAATGTATTATGCAACTGTCTTGGTTTTGCCAACTTGCCATCTCTACCAATAGGCGAATTTAAACGACGCAGGTGAGAAAGAGTAGAAGCAAAAGTCAGGCGGTTTAATACCTACAACACAATGGCAAATCTTTAAGTTTGGGCATTTCTGTAAAACTATCACATTTTTGGCAAATACTAGAATGATACAGTCATGTTTT